TAAACCCCGCTTGAGATTTCCACTATAATTTTGAACCAAGTACAAAATTAAAACCAAACCTGACTAATTTGTAAGTCCCTACAAATTATAACATCAATTGACAAAACTTTGCCAATTACACACCAATCTCTGGACCAAAAAATAACCTTTCTCAAACCGAGAGAACTTTCCTTGAATCAAACAACTCAATTCCTATAAGCCTTGATTTGTAGTGTTGTGTAGCAGTGACTTAGGAATAATTTTATCCTCTGAAAATTGCCTAAATAATTTGTATTTTGAATGATGATCAAGGGCAATTTCAGAAAAGATCTTTTTCTCAATACTTAGCAAAATTTGAATTTTTAACTCTTGAAAATTACACAAAGATTAAAGGTTATGGGTAGATAATAGTGTTACATTTTTCTGAACAAATAACCTTTTTATAGCTCTTAAAAGACAAATTTTTAAACTTTAAAAACGTTTAAAAACGGCTATAAACTATCATTAATTCAAACTTTGAATTTTGGAAAAACTGTATCTGTAGTCGACTACAGGACAAAGTAGTCGACTACACTGAGTCTCAACAGACTCTGTGAAGTTAGAAAATTTCTTAGTAGTCGACTATAATGGTCATTAGTCGACTATACTGTAATCAGACATAAACTTGACAGAAACTTGAAAAACAGATTTTGTCTTCAGTAGTCGACTATAAAGTCGATTAGTCGACTACATTGTAAAATTACAGAAACTTAACAGAAACTTGGGAAGTTGTTTTTGTTTCTTGTAGTTGACTATAAAGTAGATTAGTCGACTACACTATAAATTAACAGAAACTTATATTTCAGTCAAAGGCTTGAGTAGTCGACTACTATTCTAATTAGTCGACTACTAAGGGTTAAAAATGATATGAATTAAATGTTTTGATACTCAATTATTAACTATAAACTCTAATGGTTAACATAGGGGATTTCTATAGTTAACCAACACACTAAGCCTTGTAGGGGTAAATTTTAATCTCCCGAAACAGGGATTTCGTTTGTATTGATAAGAATAGCTTATTACAAACTAATGAATCAAAATTATAACAGAAGCGGAGGGAAGGCCCTCCTTGTTTAACGTGGGGACTTTGGTAGCTATAGGACACCTCGCTCGATTCTCGCACCGAGTCTGCTTCCCTTGGATGATTCGACCGAGGTTGCTGGTGAGCTTCAGTACGCAGTAGAAGCTCGTGCTAGCCGAGTTCGAGTTTTCGAGTTCGATGGCGATCAGGGCCCGAAGATAGGAGAAGGTGCTACAGTGCAAAGATCGTGCAAAGAGCTTATCGTCAACTCCTTCGAGAGTTGAGAGTTGTGGTTCAGCAAACTGATCAATTAATTGTGAGTTAATCGAACTTCTGCCCTTACTGAACCTGTTCAACTGCCCTCCTCTGCTGAACAGCTAAACCCCTTCTCCGTGACCGGAAGAAGTTCTTAAAGAGAGGAGAGACCGCGTGGCCACTCCTTGAATCATGGGATATGACCATGTACTATTGGGAGATATCTTGCCGCTCACCTGTACCGTGAGCGGCCACTTGAGGGGCTCGGAGTACTGTGCTCCTTCCCTTCACGTCATGGGGAGTGGGAAGGCCCATCCCTGTACGTGGTATAGCGGCTGCCAAGTACTCTGGTAAGTTTGGCGAGCTTGCCGTTTGCAGGCGAGTTTGGCTCTTGACTCGTGCGGGCGAGGCGAGCTTCATGCAGACGGTCTTGACGACTGCATGGATTTGACCAATCACTCGTACTATGAGCGGCTACTTGATGGGCTCGGAGTACTGTGCTCCTTCCCTTCACGTCGTGGGGAGTGGGAAGACCCATCCCTGTACGTGGTATAGCGGCTGCCAAGTACTCTGGTGAGTTTGGCGAGCTTGCCGTTTGTATGTGAAATCGCTCTTGACTAGTGCAGGCGAGGCGAGCTTCATGCAGGCGGGTCTATGGTCACTCCTTGGGTGAGCTTAATTTCTAAGCTGTGCGGACAGCTTGAATATGCAGGCTAATTTCGTGCTTCGTCTTTCAAGGTAATTTTTACCGTCTACAAGCCTGTGTTAGTGTGTTCTAATCTTTATGTGTATGTGTGAGTGATCAAGGCTTGTATAATATTTCTAAGTAAAGAAAAATGTAAAATAAAGTTACATTGATGTATATGTTCTTCATCTTCTTTACTTCATAATGCCTTAAACCCATCTTGTACTTGATCATATTTGATGTTGAAAGCTGCATATAAATGTTAGTGCATTTGTATAACACACATAATATAAATTGTTATCATCAAAATAATATCGTGGAGACATGATATTCAACATTTACTTAGTGCACCAATGGTTGTTAAATCCCTTGAAGTGGATAAAGACCCATACAAACCTAAAGAAGATAACGAGGATATTTTAGGACCCGAAGTCCCGTATTTGAGCGCGCTATTGAAACACTTATTCATCTTACAAATTGTACCATGCCTGATATTGTATTTGTGTTACAGTTGCTAGCAAGAATTAGTGCATCTCCTGAAAGGAGATATTGAAATAATGTTAAATATATCATCTAGTATCTTCAAGAGATCTTTGTTTATTCTATAAAAAAAATAAAAAAATGACATTGGTGGGCTATTCTGATGTTGGTTATATGACTGATCCCCATATTGTCAAATCTCTGACTGGTTATGTTTTTCTCTGCAGTGGTACTGTTATTTCTTAGAGGTCTATTAAGCAGACAATGTTTACTAGTTGAAACCACTCAGAGATTGTTCCTCTATATGTGCCCCATACGAAGTAAGGTTAAAATCATTGATAAAACACATTTGATGATCGTATGGCATATTAAACGAGGATATTACCCCCGCTGTCTTTTCTAAGGACAATGTAACTTGTGTTGCATAAATGAGATGTGGAAAATTTTTATCCACTTGTGCTTGAAAATAACAAAGAAATTAACATAGATATGTTCGCTCTAAGTAGTGACAATCTAGACGATTTGATCACCAAATCCCTTAATACATCAACTTTTAATTTTATGGTATCGTGCTTGGCCACCACGGTATGCATAGACTTGAATGTTTGTTGTCTTGAGGGGGAGCGAATTATTTTTCAGAAAAATCCTGAAGATCAAACCCCGAAAGCGGTGGCTGTACTCTTTTTTCCTTAGCTAAGTTTTTGTCCCACTTTGTTTTCTTAGCCAAAGGTTTTTAACGAGGCAGCTAATGCAACACAAGTCTGGATCCCGAAGATCTATAGTTGTACTCTTTTTTCCTTTGCTAAGTGTTTGTCCTACATGATTTTTCTTAGCGAAAGGTTTTTAACGAGACAACTGACGTAACAGAAATAATGTATGTATGTCATGTACTCTTTTCCTTGACTAGTTTTTCCCACTGAGTTTTTTTTTTCTAGCGAGGTTTTTAACGAGGCATTGACATCATGTAGTAATGTCCAATGGGGAGTGTTGTAACTATAAATGAAATGAATGTGGACAATACTAGAAGAAGTCTCTTCACCTACTTGTGACTTTTAGTATTCTCTTCCATATCTATATAATGTAAGCCATAAAAGACAAAATGTATGGAGCAATGAGGAAGATGAATAAAATGAGAATCACTTTTCTCCCTATTTCTTCTCTTGTCTATTTACATTTACATTTCATGTTTGATTCTTACTTTTGATATATATGATGTATGTAGATATAACAACAAGATTACAACAATTAGATAGTTGATGATAATGATTTAAAAAGTCGTCTCTCCATTACGTAGTCCCATGATCCTAATCCATGAGTAAGCTCTCTTTTCCTTCCTAATAATCCGGAACTATCTCCAACACCCAAAATCTTCTAGACACAATGGTTAAAAAAGGCTAAATTTCAGGGGGGAAAAAGCCTTTAACTTTGGATGATTATCAGATAACCCCCAATAACTTTCAAAATATTAGAAACATAACTTTAAGTTTAGGGGTTATGAGAAAACCCCCTTACCCTTTAAGAATTTTTTTCGCAAAACCCCCTAACATCGTTAAGTGCAATTTTCATATGGGTAAGTAATATTACGCATGGGGGATATTTTTACCAGTAAAAATTGTGGTTTACTCTTTTAGGGGTTTTTTTTAATAAAACTCTAAAAGTTGAAGTGGGTTTTTCTATGAACACCTAAACTTAAGGGGGTTCGCTGATAGTTTGAAAGTTATGGGGGCTTATCTGATAATTGTCCAAAATTGCTAGAGAGAAGTTAAAGCTACGGGAACATAAACTCCAAAGTTACAGAGAAATAACTCCAAGCACTCTCAAACGTGCCTCAAACTGCATCCAAGACCGGGCGCCCTCATCCAACACCCTGACCGTAGCATATATAACCCTGGTCGGCTGATACCGGAGTTACGATCCTCATTCCGATGACATACTCAAGCACCGCATCCCCCGTGTCACCGCATTCCCAGCATTCCACCCAGTGTCACCGCCCACAAATACGGCACATAGGGCAATGCCATCCCCACGTTCGCCGCTTCAATTCATTGATCCGCTCTCAAAAGTCATCGTCATCAACATCTTGTCGACGCTAACCACCTTGTCCATCAACTTTGTGCTGATTATTAGGCCGGAGTTGCCTTCGCGACACACATTTTATGCACATTTTGGAGGCTTAATATTAGATTGTTGGAGTTTGTGGCAATGTGAGTTTGATTGAGTTTAACTTTATGAAATTGCACTGGAATTGAATTGGGTTTTCCGTTTTAAATAGCTTGAGGATGGAGAAGGGGATTCAAGGGGGGTTATTTTCAAAAGAAGCGTACGAAAGTTGAAATTTTCTCACTCGTTTTATGCACATGAGGCATGTTAAACAGAAATTTAAATGGTCAAGTAAAGGAAGATACTGAAGTTAAAAGTATTAATTTAACATTTTATTCTTCATGCTTTTCCTTTACAATTTTATAAATGAACATGAATAAGTTGTAAATTATAACAAGAACGATGTTTATCGGCTTCCAGAGCGCAGCATCTCAGCATAAGTCAGTTCTTCATTGCAAGGGCAGTACAAACTCGTGCTTCAGTGTACACTTTCCCTTGACGGCAGAAATACCCTTTCTCCGGCGCACAATGTGTATCTTCTGAGCAAATGCACAGCCCTTCAAGAGCACAACCTTTTTTAAATATGCTAGTCCTTCCTCTTATGCCAAGAATTTGATCAGTCCACTCATTGGAGAACAATCCGCTAGGATCATAAGCATCCTTCACCTTGAGAAATTCACTTCTCTTCGAAAACTTACTGATTACCCCATCAAACGCCACATTCCGACTCTTCCCCCAATGTGGAATGCCTCCATATTTGATCAGCGCCATCTGCTCTATCTCTTCTAACACATCTTCATACAACCTCGGACTCATAGGATCACGACTTCTATAATAAGTGATGTCAAAATCTATTGCATCTTCTTGTTTCCCCAAATAAGCAGTCGACGCTTTAATGTACCGCATAAGGATTCCGTCGTATAGTTCCACATTGCACAAAGATTTCGGTTGCAAATCTCTTAGCTTTTGGATATCGAGAATGAAGTCTTTCACCTTCGATAAACCGATGCTGACTGTTGACTGTTGAAAGAAGCTGCCTTTGAATCTTGGATCCCAAGCACAGGCAGTTATTAGACCATCCTCTGGGCTACTGAGACAGGAACCTGACGATTGCATCTGGTTCTGGAAGCCGATGACTGGATAGCCTGTGAATAGGAGGCCGTCATTTGTGAGGCCAAAGTTGGCTGTAGCTGCAGCGGAAGTCGATGATAGAGCATCGGCACACTTTCCATCTGCATTGCTTGTGGCCTCCGTGGTCTCCTCTGTTGCCAAACATTACGTGCTAATCGATCAAAAAGTAAAATAAAGTAAAGGCAGAAATTCACTTGAGGTCCCTCATGTATTGCTTAAATATCTAAATTTAGCAGTAAAGATTTCGGCTCCTTAATGTTACCTTTGTTATGAACTTAGGTTTTTTAAACAAACTTTAGTTAAATCTAGCTGACGTGGTAGTGGATCCTCTCCACTACCAAAAAAATAGTGGAGAGCCCACTACCTATTTGATAGCTATTGGTTTATTTAGTGGATGTTTGTGATTTTTCTTAGAGTGCAAATTAGGAAGAAGATATGGTGAGTGTTAGATTTAAAATAAGTCATAACTACCCAATAAGTAAATCAATAGTTGTTAGTAAGGGAGTGGTCGATCTCTCTACTATTTTTTTATAGAACACCCTCCACGTTACGTAAGATCTAACAAAAGTTTGTAAAAAACATCTGGGCTAATGATGGAGATAATGTTAGAGACTCTCACTAATAACTTTCACATATGGAGAACCTAGATATTTTTGAACAATACATAAATGACCTACACTTAAGTTTTGCCTAAAATAAACAAGAAGATTGAGCTAAAACAACCAAAATGGGTAAATGACTTAAATTTATTTAAAAAGAACCTTCAATTGGAGGGAGGGTGTACTAAACGACAAATGACTAAATTGGAATTTTTTTTCTTAAGTACATTTTAGTTATTTGCCAATTATGGTTAAAGGCCCTATGAAAAAAAGTTAACTTTAAACGGCTGTTGTGAGACACCCTAGATTGAGGAGTTATGTGATATAAAAAAAAGAGTTCAACGGGGTTACAAGCAAAACTCTTTTAAGTTTTTTCTGAAATTAACCCTATGCATAGTTATTAGTTACTGCAAACTTGGAATCTTTGTACCTGTTGATCTTACGAGAGCAACGACCGATGTTGGTACTGAACGGAGCCCGATCATGTCATAGACTCCGTTGCCGGTGGTGTTCACGGGCACACGATCGTCAATCCGATAGATGGCCATGCGTTGAGCTGGGTACCATCTGATATCTGCGAACTCATGTTGATTGCCAAAATTTAATGCTTTGTCTGCTAAGTCTGTGTCGTTCTGCGGGATATACGTGAGAGATCGTTTGAAGAGGGGTTGCAACCTTAATGTGACCTGTAACAATTGGAGAGTGTGGAGTTTAAGATGAGGATCCTCTATTTCAACTAGGTAGGTTGTAGCACCGCACATGAGCAACTACTTTTAAAGTTGCTTTTCTATCTCCTTTTTTTCTTATTTTTGAAGCAACACTTAATTATACTGCATTCATTTCTTAGGCGTCTATATTAATTTTTTTTAATGGCAATGACCATTGGAAACGAGTTAAATGAGGAGTTTGTGTGTAATTGTTAATTCAATTTATTTTATTTTATTATTCTTCTTTTGGGTGGATGGGGAGGGGGTTTATCTGCAATTTGTTTTTCTGAAAATGCAAATCCCCGGGTGGTAAGTGCTACTAAATAATTGATGGGTGGAAGTGCTACTGGATGTATAGATAAAGGATTGTATGCAATTTTTGTATGTTTTAAATTATGTTGTTTCTTTAGGTTCTTTTGATATTAAGCGTTGTACCTGTTGACCTAGATTTCTACTGCTCCAGTTTTTTATTTTTATTTTTCTTTATTTTTTGATGGAATACTGCTCCAGTTTATAGCATGTAAGAAATTTAATAATCATTCTCATGTGTTTTAAGTTTCTTTTGTCAAACGTTGCTTTATTTTCCAAATCTCATTGTACTTCATGTGCTATAGCCTATAGCCACTAGCATATAAGTGGCTTACCCTTAATGGGATTTGGATACTTTCATCTTTTTTAGAAAGTGAAGTTTTTTAAAATAGACCACTTTTGCTAAATATTTAGCAAAATAGACCATTTTGCTAAATATTTAGCAAAATATAAGAGGTCGATTTTGAAAAACAAGGCTCAGAAAACTGTGAATGTGACATGGTGGGGGGCCAGCGGACACGTGAATGAAGGCGTGGGAGGAAAGCTGGACAATCACGTGTCACGAGATTTGAGAAAATCTCGTGAACAGTAGCAAAAACAAAACAGAGGCCACCCGATTACAACAACATATATATCAACGTTTTTTCTCCTAGGTTTTAGTGCAGGAGGTTTGTGGACTTGGGCGTACAATTGAGGCGGCAGTGTTCAAAGAAAAAAGTCGGCTGTTTTGTTCTTCTTTTGACAGCGCGCAGGCAGAGGGGAAAACGAAGCTTGGCGGCTGTGCTTGGTGATAAATTGCAGCGGCTTTTGTTAGGGTTTTGAGCATATATTGGTGGAGATATTTGTAAGAGATTTAAAAGTTTGTGTGAGGGTTTTATTTGTGAGATTCTTGTGTAAACCCTATTTGTATTCTCCCTCTCTAGTAGTAGATCTCCCCCTCCTTGCCCCGTGGACGTAGGTAATTTGCCGAACCACGTAAAATTGGTTGTCTCGCTATTTGTGTTCATTGTAATAGCTTTTAGGTTCCCTCGACAGGTCAGTCCTAGAACTGATGAGAGGAAGAGCAGATATCTCACTTGGTTGAGATATTTTGCTTAAGGTTCTTGTTTCCTTGGTGAAACAGGATTTCCTATTGCGACCTGACTCTTGTTGTGTTGCCGAAGTGCTGCCGAAATTTCCACTACACGCAACAAGTGGTATCAGAACCCTGATTTTAGATCTAGGATTTTGGAGTTTGGTGGAGGAAGATTCTTGTGTGAAGCTTGGTTCTTGGAGTTCTAGGCTTCGGTGGAGATAGCATTAGGAGTTACCGTTGGAGATTTTGCTTTCCTTGTGTGGATAGGAGATCTATTTGGAATCCGATCTAAGGTTTAGTTGGGTGGTTCCTAATTTCTATCAAATTTATTCTTTCTCTATAATTTGGAGTTAATTTGCAATGGGAGAAGAAGGTGAAAGCAGCAAGTCGATGGCGAGTACAATACAAGTTGGTTTTCAGAACACTAAGATTAGTGTGGTGAAGTATGATGGTAAAATCAACTTTGGTTTGTGGATGAGCGACAGATTAGTGTGGTGAAGTATGATGGTAAAATCAACTTTGGTTTGTGGATGAGCGACGTACAGGATGCGCTTAATGCTCAAAATTTGGAAGAGATCATCATGGTCCACGAGAGGCCACCTAAATATGATGAGACGATATGGGAGAAGATGAATAGGAATGCGTGTGGGGTGATCGTGTCCTGCTTGGAACATGAACTGCAATATGATGTGATTGGGGTGACGTCTGCAATGAAGATGTGGGAAATTCTTAATAACAAGTATCTCACGAAGAGTGTTGAGAACAGGTTGCATCTGTTGCGAAGACTCTTCAGATTTCAGATGTCCAGAGGCACCTCACTAGCGGCGCATGTGAACAACTATACTAAGTTATTGTCGGACTTGGCAAATGTTGTGTTAGCCCTTATGTTTTGATGATGTTCTTACAACCACCATTATTGGTACTAATGGCTTATTGAGTGAAATTGTAGTAAATCTATTTGTCAAGCTCGTTAGTGCCATCAATGGAGGATGGATGGAATATATGCTACAAAGATAATATCCAAAGGAGGAGGAGGCCAAGAGATGAAGCAACGTTAATTCAAGAACGAAAAACTCGAATAAAAGCTTCATCCGATTCAAGCTAATCAAAGCTCAAGTATTGCTTTAAATATGAGGATATTAGCTTTCTTTTATGTTTCTCTCTAGTGCTAGAATGTAGGCAAAGAGTCACTATGTTTACATGAAGCTATTGGGATTTACACACATGTTTTCTTTCTTAAACTTTTAAGCCGTTTTCACAAAACCTTATTTTTCACAAATACGAGAACCTATCTGCAAAATTCTTTCTTCAAACAGTTTGTTTTTAGTATCAAAAACATTTTACAAAGTTTCAGATTTTTCAGAGGTCAAATAAATATTCTACAAATATTTTAACTTGGTCAAAAACATGTTTTCCAGCATATGTCAGAAAGCGGTCGACCGGATCGGTCGACCGCACATATCATCTTTTCTTACTGGTTTCCAGAGAGGTCGTCGGTCGACCGGGCCGGTCGACCGAATTCTCGATTTTTTATCGGTCGACCGATCCGGTCGACCGACAGTGTTTCTGCTGGTTTTCTTATTTTTCTGAAGCAGCTCACGGTCGACCGAAATTTTCGGTCGGTCGACCGACGTGATTTTCGGTCGACCGAACGATATTTCGGCCGACCGCTTTTTTCCCTTCAGTCAACACGAGATTTTTTAAAACGGTCATTTTTATTTTCGATTGTCGTGCTTTCACTCTTTTGTGCTTGGCTCAGTCTGAGCTAAGACTCTGTAAAGGGGATTATCTTCCTAAACAGGAAGATTGGGTTTGGTTTTTAAAATTGTTTTAATCTATTCTATAAAAACCCTACTGCTGCTTCTTCTTCCTTGAGCAAAACGTTTGAAAAACCAGAGAGAGTATTTTCTGTTTCTGCTGAGAAAATTTTCAAATCAGTCTTGCTTTCTTCTCTGTGGTTTTGTGTGAGCTCACCTCCCAGCTTCAGTAATTTGTTCTCTTTGCCATAGGGGCTTTGTAAGAGAGAGTTCTACATCTGTTATCTTGTGCTGTGTAGTTGAGATCTTGAGTAAGATCTACTGTGAGGGAGTGATCTGTTGAGATCAAACTGTGTAGTGAGAGAGATCGTGTGGGATCGCTGTGTAGACGAAGTTCCGGCTTCCAAACCGGCTGTGTAGTGGATTTCTCCTCGAGAGTGGGGAGCGGGGACGTAGGCCAGAGGGCCGAACCTCGTTAACACATCGCGCGTCAAGGATAACGATTCCTAACCCTCTCTTATTTACCTTGTTTGCATCTATTTACCGTGAATTGCTTGTTGTGTGTTTTAAACTGCATATTAGAGCCTTTTGACCCTAATCACCCCCCCTCTAGGGTCCAACAATTGGTATCAGAGCTTGGTCTCTATATTAATTTTTGGTTTAATCACCTTAGAGTAAAGATCTTATGGAGGCTTCTTTGAATATGCATATGTTAGAAGGACAATCCACAACTAGGCCACCTCTCTTCACCGGGAGTAATTTTGCTTATTGGAAGGCTAGGATGAGAATTTATCTTCGTTGTATTGACCTTGACATCCTAGGGCTTATTGAAAAGAAATATGTAGAGAAATCCAAAGTTGAGAACATGTCCGATGATGAAAGGCACCTTGCCAATCTCAATGCTAAGGCTATGAACGCCTTAATTTGTGGTCTTTCCCCTAATGAATACAATAGAGTCTCCACGTGTGCAACCGCATACGAAATTTGGGAAAAATTATGTGTCACACATGAGGGAACACCCCAAGTTAAGGAGTCTAAGATTAGTGGACTTATGCATGATTATGAGCTATTCAAAATGCTTCCAAATGAATCCATTGATGCTATGTTTTCCCGTTTTACTAATATCATCAATGAATTACATGGTTTAGATAAGCAACTATCTATTCAAGAGATGAACTACAAGATACTTCGTTCCTTAACTCCGGCATGGGAGCCCAAGGCTACGGCCATCGAGGAGGCTCATGACCTCACTACATTAGCTCTTGATAGTCTTATCGGAAAGCTCAAAGTGCATGAAAAGAAGCTCAAAGGGAAGGAGAAGGAGGAAGTACCATCACGTGAAGTTTAGGAACCATCACCAAAGTTGAAGACTATAGCTCTCAAAGGAGCTAGTGACAACTCATCTTCGTCATCGGAGAGTGAAGTAGATTTTTCTAGAGAAGTGGCTCATCTCTCTAGAAGAATCTCTAGACTTATAAAAATGAACAAAAAATTCAATCCCCGATCTAATAACAAGTTTTCATCTCGTGTAGGAAAATGTTTTGAGTGCAATGAACCGGGTCACATCGCTAAGGATTGCCCCAAGCTCAAGGAGAAGTACATGAAGTACAAGAAGAAGAAGGCTATGTATGCCGGATGGGAAGAATCCGAACCAAGTGATTCGGATAGCGATGAGGAGGGAGCCAAACTTGCCCTTCATGACCCAAATGTTTGTTTCATGGCAAATGAACATGAGGTAATATCCGAGGCCGAAAGTGAATCTTTCTATATGCAATGTGATATAGCTATGGCATTAGAGGAGTTGAACTTTGAATTTAAACGAATGTCTAAAGAATACTCCTCTTTCAAAAAGTTGCATGTCTCTTGTGATATTAAGCTTGAACAACTAACAACCTCTCTTGCTCTAAAAGATG